AAGCGAAACAACCTTAAAAAATTAATTTCTTTTCACAAAATTTAAACCCCACACATATGACTTATTTTTAAATAACTACTTTAAATCTTAAATTGTTTGCAGATTAAACTAAATTTAATAATTTATATCCAATTACTCTTTTATTTTATATATTTTATTGCATTTACACAAAAGCGGTTTCTAAAAGTTTTGTTCGCAAAGTCAAGCCGTCATTTTATATCATTATAAAAATAGATTTTTTATGAAAAAAATCAGACATGCGTATAAATTTCTAGAATCATGAATTCAAGTTCAATGTCATTTCAAAATAAAGCACACAAATTGTAATGACATTAAAACAAAAATAATAAAAAATATGTATTATGTACATATAAAAAAAATACATGAATATAAAAAATAAATAAACTCACATAAATGTTAGTCTACTGCGGACGTAAGAGTTTGATTTTTACGACTTTAAAATTTAACTTAAAACGAATTGCGAATACACTTTATTCTTTATTGGTTTATAGTTAGTTAGAACACTTTTTGTATATACATACATACATACATATATAGTATATTTGCGGATTTCATGGTTTTAAATTTATAGAATTGAAATTAATTTTAGTAAAACCATGAAAAATTGTGCAATTAAATTAATATTGATACCTGTGTTGATTAAAGAAATGTATCCCAAACGAGGGGTGTAAGAAAAAGTTTGAAATCAAAACCTAACTTTTATAATCAGTACTTTTTATACCATGTTAGGCCGAGAGTTTCATTGTGTATGAAATATCACACATACATGTATCATCCAACCCTCGTCATGCTGATAAATATTATATACGAACATGACAACCAATACTTGGTCTATAAAACTTCTATAGAATATTGATTAAACTCTTAAATATTTGTCAAACATGAATTGGCAATAAATGCTCGTCGTACTTGTTTGTCTGCTGCAGTGTAAAAGTGTCATCACGCATATAAATTGGAATAATCTTTAATAAATCGTATTCAGCACAAATATAAATATTATCAAATAAATGCCAATTGCGAATAACAAGAATTCAAGGTCAACAAAAAACACACAAAGGAAAATCCAACTTGAATATACATATTTATATCTTGACAAAAATTAAAACCCAAACAACTTAATTTAAATCTAGACTAAAGTATATACTAAAATATAGTCCGAAATAAATTTTATAGACTAGACTAGACTATATACGAGACTATATACAAGAGTATAGACTAGACTATAGACTATACTATAGACTAAATTATAGACTAGACTGTAGACTAAATTATAGACTAGACTATAGACTAGACTATAGACTAGACTATAGACTAGACTATAGACTAGACTATAGACTAGACTATAGACTAGACTATAGACTAGACTATAGACTAGACTATAGACTAGACTATAGACTAGACTAGACTAGACTATAGACTAGACTATAGACTAGACTATAGACTAGACTATAGACTAGACTATAGACTAGACTATAGACTAGACTATAGACTAGACTATAGACTAGACTATAGACTAGACTATAGACTAGACTATAGACTAGACTATAGACTAGACTATAGACTAGACTATAGACTAGACTATAGACTAGACTATAGACTAGACTATAGACTAGACTATAGACTAGACTATAGACTAGACTATAGACTAGACTATAGACTAGACTATAGACTAGACTATAGACTAGTCTATAGACTAGACTATAGACTAGACTATAGACTAGACTATAGACTAGTCTATAGACTAGACTATAGACTAGACTATAGACTAGACTATAGACTAGACTATAGACTAGACTATAGACTAGACTATAGACTAGACTATAGACTAGGCTATAGACTAGACTATAGACTAGACTATAGACTAGACTATAGACTAGACTATAGACTAGACTATAGACTAGAATATAGACTAGACAACAACTTAACAACTTTTATTATACTTTTTAAGAAATCATGTGGGAATATCTCTTTCAAAATATATACTAGTACACTTGGACCAAATTGGGTTCTTTAGAACCAGTTAATTACTAGTTCTAATGTTTAAAAAAGTCCCCATAATTGGTAATTTTGCTCCTTTTAATCCTCCTGCTTGGTTCCAAGTAAAAATTACTACAAAATTAGTTTTTTTTATTGTTTTATTCATAAAAATTAAATTCATATAAAAAATGTTGTAAATACATACTGGTTTCTATCCGAACCACCAACATGGGTTATATACATATATGTATATAATGTCCACAAAATTGCATTCAGGTATCGCCTTAAATACATCGCCTTAAATATGAACATTTGCGTATGATAAAATAAATAACTAATTGCAATTTTTAGATTTAACAGACGTACCTTCATAGGGTTCTGCATGCAACTGCACCTAAACAGTCATTCACTATTTATCCCCTGATTTGAATTAAAATTTTTGTAAATTTCCTTTATTTTATGCAAAATGTTTGAAAATATTAATTTCATAATTTAAATAATATAGACTATAGACTAGATTGTAGACTATACTATAGACTAGACTATTCAATGTTTATTACTAAAATTTGACTTGGATTTTATCACCATTTTTAAATACCAAACAAAACTATTTAGACTAGATAATGACTGGCCGTTGGATCTTGATACTTTTTTATTTGAACTGTTACTTTATATCTCTTTAACAACTTTTATTATACTTTTTAAGAAGTCATGTGTGAATATCTCTTTCAAAATATAAAAATAATAACAATAATCTTCATTACATTTAATTAAATGAATTAGTTTCACATTCAAATCATTACTCGAAACAAAAACCGAAAAACGAGTAAAAACATTACACTTTATAAAGGTGTAACAAACAAATTAAGTTCACCTGCAAATCTATTTATAATTACATGATCATGCGAAGGTGTTTAACACCACAAAATTTAAACTTTCTATTATTAAGAAAAATTAACAAAAAAAAAAATTGCAAAAAAAAAAAAGAAACAAAATTATAATGTGTAAACAAAAAAAATAAATAAATAAAATAATAAAACCATTAAGCATGTGAATGAATTATTATGCCAAATATAGGGGCATTATATGATGGACTACTTTTTATGAGTATTAAACAAAAGCAAAAAAACTTAAGCTACTACACAAAGAAGGTATGAATAAATAAAAAAAAAAAAAAATAATTTAAAATTTTGTACGGACAAATTAAGTTAGTTGCTTTTAGCCATATTAGGAACGAAATGTATTTGTTACCCATAAACATACTCACACACCGATTTGTATTTTGAACATAGAAAAATATAGACAAAACTTTCATTTTCATTTGTAGACACCATAATTGAGGTTATTAGAAACAAAAATATAAAACAAAAACAGTTTATTTATGAATAATTCATTTTAATAGACCGGTGTAATTATTGTTAGTATTAACGACAATAGACATAAATCTAACACTTTGAGTCTAGTCATGACATGTTTGTCAAGGTCAATTTTACTTATAAATATTTTAAAACAAAAAATATTTATAAATTAAAAGTTTTTATTTTAAAGATGTTAAACATTTTAGAAGTAATAGTCAATAAAAATTTATTTATTTATCTTTTTAATTTATTAATTTTGTGGCTTCTGTTTTTTATTTCACAAAATTAAATTTAATTGTTTTGCTGATTTTATATTTCAGTTGCATTTGTCTCAAATTAAAAACAATTAAATAAATGAAAAAAATATAAGATATTTTATATTTGAAACACATATCATTTTAAATCGTTCATTGTTTGTCATATATTTTTGGGGAATTTCACTTAAAATTTTAATAATTCTATCTAAACGACATACAGACAAATACGCGGTTTATTTTATTGAATTTGAATTATCGCGAAAGCTATAAAAAATTTAGGATAATAGTGAGCTCGGGGTGTCTGGTTGAGGCTAGGTGAAAAAATGGACCGATTTCAAACATTTTCAATAAGCTTGGTTTTGTGATTCTGAACCGATTGTTTTTCTTTGTGGGGGTTTGTAGGGAAGGATTTAGAGATTTTTGTTTTATTGTCATTTATATATTAAACTCTTAGTAATAAAATTCTTCCCATCCCTGGTGACTATGATGGGAAAAAAACTTTTAACAATTATAAAAAAACAAACGCAGACAATTATGCAAATTTCTTTAAATAACAAAATTTGAGTGAATTCATTTTATTCAATTAAATTTTACTTGAACTTGACTTTGATTTTTTTTTTCAACAAAGTTACATATTTTAAAAAATTGAATGATGGAATAATTTACATGAGAAATTTTGTATAATTTTTTTATTTTCTCTCTGAATAACTCGTAATAAATATGACATCAGTGCACAATTATAATTGAATGCTAAAGTAACTATTTGTATATTTCGTTTTCTTAAAAAAATGCAAATTAAATAAATTGTTAAATCAAATACATATTACGCAAAAACATCTAAATTAATTGCTTGTATAATTTATATAAATTGAAAAAAGAAATTAAAAAATAATTGAATGACAGTTTCTTAAAATATTCATAATTTTGTAAGTGTATAAACAACAAGGCAATTTAAAAAATACAACGATTTATTACTACAATTTTTAAGAAGCCACGACTTTGAATGGTTTAATACAAAAATTTTTATTTAGTAGTATAAATATCAATTTGATACAAATTACCGTTTATACGTTAATTGTTTATAAAATATTTGTCTCTTTTCTAACAGACTCTTTGTTTCTATAGGAATTATTTAACACAATTTAAGAATTTTTAAACATGCAACATTTTAAATATTTATTCGCAAATTAGCTAAGAACACGCATAAGAATTTTCTAGAGCGGAAATTGATTGCATCATGGTTTCACAAAAAATAAAACACAATTGTCTTCTTCTAACAATAAATACTTATTTATGTATTTTAGTTTTTATTATTTAAATAACATGATTTTCATTAGCTAAGAACTTGGTAATAATTCTTTTGATTTTATTTTCTTTTTAATTACAGATGGCTTATATGGCTCCTAGACGACGTTTGGGCTCTATAGAAGACTCAGCGCCTCCCTCGGAATCATCGGAAGGTACAAACTCCTCTGAAAATCATGATATGATTTTAAACTCCGAATGGTCCCATGGCTCACAAAATGGTGTTACTAATCACAATTCCATGTTTCTTAATTCGGAAGGTGATACCGATACAATTAGCACGGATACGGCCAGCAATACCATGTTGTCGGACTACGAAAGGGGACAAGTTGAAAGTTTTTTCGGTGGTTTGGGTACAGAAATCTTTGTTAGTTCTTCGTTGGCCAATCTCTATGAGGGTACAGGCAAAGATAACGATTGGCATTTGGTATTCACTGGTATACCCGTAGTGTTGTATGATCGTGGCAGTGCTCGCGCTAGATCCATACCTCGGGTTACCTTAGTCTTGGCTGAACGTGGTTCGTGTTTCGCTTTGTGGTCCGACCGTATTGATAACTTATCAAACTATCGTGTGGCTGGTCCCTCATTTCATACCATGTGCTTATCCAGCAATCATCAACAAATGATTGGTTTTAGTTTTGATTCCACTGAATCGGCTCGAGAGTTATGGCAGCATATGGAACGTTTGGTAAGTGATCCCGAAAATATAGCGCTTTCTATGCCCGGACGTAAAAAACAAAAGCAAAAACGCACTAAACCAGCACCTTTGCCACCCAAAGCACAAATTTCCCATCCATGTCAATTTCATCATGTCACCAGTGTGACCAAAGATGATACGGAACGATACTATAGTATGCAGGCCTTTGCCGCCATGAGTCAACGTTAAAATAGTAAAAATAAATAATAAGAAGATTGAACGATTGTAATTTTAAATCGTCAAATCTAAAGGACATTTATATTTAATAGTTTTTAAGTACAATTAAATTAATTAGTTTTAATCAAACGATTTCAACAAATACATTTACATATGTTTGTATCGATGTATGTGTTTTTTTGTATAAATTATTATCCATGTTTTTCTTTGCGTTTTTGATTCAATTGAGAGAAGAAAATATTTATCTGTGATATAAATACAAATTAATATTATTTGTTTTAAGTTGTTTTTTTTTTTTACTTCATTTTTAGTTTTGTTAAATATTGAAATTTAGCAAAAAAAAATAAAAAATATATAAAGAAAACAAACAACTAGTTAATACACAACTTTTGATTTGTTTAGTCTTAAGTTAAGTATAGAAGATTAAGTTTATCGACCCTTGAAAAAAGTTGTGCAAAAGCCATGAATTATTTTTTAAGTTGATATAATTTAGATTTTTCACAAAATGTTTTTAAAATATACTAACAATTATAATTAAGTCAGATTAACGCAATTGATAGTCGTTTTTTAAGAATATTATTATAATTATTATCTTTATTTTTATTTTTATAATCCAATAAGTCAATTTATTTACTAAGCTATAAAACATCTATTGTAACAAAATAAAAGGTCACATTATATATTAAACTATAAACTTATATAATTAAACTTCTAACTAAAATTTAATTGTTGTTAAAAAAAAAACTTTACGTGTACAGAAAGAAACAAAGAAAAAATTTATGTTGAAATTCAAAACCTTAAATTAAGTTCAAAAAATAACATTTATTATATCAATACAAATTATAAATAATAAATAATATTTCCTAAAATCAAAAATAAAAAATGTTTTATTTCTTTATAGTTAAAAGATCATCATGGTTGGATATGTCTAAAAATGGACTTAAAAAAAACATAGGAAATTATCGCGATCGTTACCAACAGGGATGAAAACTTTGGTACTTTTTCAGCATTTTTGAAAATTCCATGTTTCCCTCATGACATTTGTATCATGTTTATATAAAAGTATGTTAAAGAGGCCTTCGATTAGTCAATAGAGTAGTCTATAGTACTCTCTATAGAAAATAGACTACTTGATAGATTGGTCCATATCCTTGTTTCAGCACATAGGCTATTAAACAGGCTGGTACAAAGACAAGTCAATAGATTATCCCATAAGCGGACCATAGACTAATCAATAGACTAATCAGTATAACAATCAATAGATTAGTTTATGGACTAGTCGCTATATTATTTCATAAATTTGATAATATAATAGAACCTGGATTAGTCTCTAGACTAGTTCTTACGGTATTTCAATGCTCACGTATGTTTCCAAATAAAAATTATTAATTTCATAGTTTTACATGCATGTTTAATTACAAAAATTAGTTTTATTTATATCTCCTATGATTACTTTATGATTATGAGTACAGATATCATTATTTTATTCCATTCAAAGACATCCACATATTACTGATACTTGATTTGAACCTGCAAATAAAAAATAAAAGAATTGGTTATTTTTTATTATTATAATAAAATTAAATTTTATCAACTAAATTTGTATTATTTATTATAAAAAAATTGTTTTGCAAGATTTTTTGATAGTTCACCGACTTTTTTACACATGTTTTGAGGATTTTTTCTATTCATAACAATTTTCATTCAATAATTTTTTAAATTCTGAAAAAGACTAGTTAAAATATTAATTTCCTTATAAAGATCACTTAACCAGTAGTAAAATTTTATAGTCGTTATTTTTTCAAATTAAAAATTTTACCAAACAGCATAATTTAATGCTGCAGAATTCATTAATTTTATGGCATGATGCAAAAAAAAACCTGTTGCAAAAAAATGTCTAAGTCTACATGTAACTTCAAGATTTTTTCCACTTTTATGGAATACAACAAACAAACAAATACATACATGCATAATTTTTATGACACACAAGTTCTTGGAGATCATTGCTAAGGCATCATCAGTATTATAAAATACCGTGGAGTTGAAGATTGAAAGAAAGGGCCAAAACATAAAACATCACTGAGTTGTCGGAGTAGACAGAGTGGAGAAATAACAAAAAAACTGCAAAAGAAACATAAAACACAAAACATTAAGGGGGTTCATTCTTGTAAGAATGTTAGCATATCAGGAGATACAATAAATCTAAAGTTAACAAAATTGTTTTTATGGTCAAATTTGTTTATTTTGAAGTTCCTGTGAAACATAGTTAATTTAGAAATTTTCACGTTACAATCAGATAAAATATCCTAATAAAATATCCTATAAAATATATGGTGCTCCTATAAAATATATGGTGCTCATCCACCATATGAGAAGATGTTGCCCCCTTGACACTCACACACATGCGACCGATGGAGGCACATACAAATGAATTCTTATTTACTATGAAAGTCAACAGCAGCAAGTCAAACAGCAAAATACACAACTACTAACTGATTTAACTACAACTACACTCATATTTGCGTTTCGAATTTGTTCTTTTGAGAAGAGGGAGAAAAAGATCAGTGATCTATGAAGTTTACTTAGGAAAAGGAATAAAATAAACATACAAATAAATAAGCAAATACATGTTGCCAGTTCATGCCAATATGGCATAAGTTTCAATGTTAGCATGTTTCATAATATATAGGCAAAACGAAAAGTCTATTAGAAATCATAGTAGTTTTAAAGGCAAATAAGAAAGTTAAAGTAATTTTCTGTACATAGGTATTTGCATTTTAAACAGACAGATAGATGGAGGAAACAGATCGTATTTGAATTCAACCGATAACAAAGAAATAATCGGACTTTACGATAAAGGTATATTTTTCTCTAAAAATATAAGATATTTTAAGCCACAAACATTTATTGTGAACTTTTTTGGTAGTGAATAACTTAAAACTACTTTTTATTCTGCCTTCGTATGTACGAGCAACCATGAACAGATTTTAACTAAAACAGTATTGCCAGATGAATAAAAAACTGATTTTGTTCCAATTTAATAATTTAAATCATAAAACTTTTTTGTAAAAATTATTACTAAAGCAAAAAGATTTAATGAAGGAGAATAAATTACAACAACAAGATTTTTATCATAAAACTGTTCGAATTTTTTTCCCAAATTCATAGAATCTTGTGAAAATATCCTTTAAATTCAATTTCATTTATGTGGCATCCTCAATCTAAAACTATGTAATATCAATTGTTTGTTAAGGCCTGCAACGTTGTCCTCTTCCCTCCCTCTACAGATATTCTTTTATGCAATGAGTTTTCTTTAAGTTCTTTTCTCTTGGCTGTTGGCAGTGTTTCTGCAACAAACATAAAAATATTTTTAAGGTCTATCGCTCATGTGTTTGAAAAAGAGTTGGTTGAATGGTTGGTTGTTTCTGGTTTCCAGTTTTTTTGTCTTCTCCTTCTTAAAAAGAAACTTAACTTTGCCGTCTTTTATTTTTTTATGTTTTTAGAGGTTTCAGTCAAAAGTTCATTAAACTGAAGTGAACACTAGACGGGAGTTCTGGATCCCTGAATGTGAAAGCAAACACATGCACATTTAGCGAAAATGCAATTATATATACTTGGATGTATAATGCTGTATAGTAAGTTTGTAAATTTATCTACTTGTTAGAAAACCATTTCTTCGTAATAAATTGTTTTATTAACAGATACTAGTACAACTATATTGATTCGTTTCTAGATTGGGTCCTGTTTTCAACTTGCAAACATTCATACCTCCGGAGGAATGTAACCTTGGTTTCAATTCCGGGGAAAATTGTTGCTACCAGTACCTCCAGTCTGCCGAGACATGGGGTCGAATCAGAAAACTACATAATCTGGTACCACGAGTTCTCGTCCGGGTTATTAAAGAGGTGTCTTCGTGACGCACTTGGTGGCTTTTGTTTAAACCCAAATTCGCGGGAAGAGAATGTCGGTTAAGAGACTGAAGCACGGTAAAGTCTTTAAATCGGGATAACTTGTAACGGTGCTGTTGCCGAAACAACAGTTGCCGCGCAGACGAGTGACTGTGGAACTAAGCGGTGAAAATGAGTTGTGTTAAGGTTATGTGATGGATGTAGGGGCATGCGGATATTACCCACCAGTACCTAGAGTGAGTGTGTCGGAGGAATGAGAAGTGTACTAGGTTGAATGGTGAAGGATGAAAGGCATCTTATACAAGTGATTGTATATATATATAAATGTCAAGGTTTACTCACATACCAGAACAAGTAGGAACAAGTCCCCGGCTTATTTGATGTATTCTACCGAAAACGTCTCAAGATGCTGTTGCTGACTTAACAGAGTCCATTCCATCTGCGTGGTTGTAAACGGAAGTGATGATGGAGCAATGATCAGAAATTAGATAGCTCAAAAACTTGAGTAAAGTGCTTGTAAATGGATCAACGAAACCATGTACAAAAATTGCCACCGGTGGTGGTGAGTCATCTAATCAGCTCACCCTGAAATAAGGCTAACACTGCAGGTGTTCATGCACTAAAGCACTTCGACTTCTTGCTAACATTCATACACCAAAATGTGTGGAACGTATTTTGAACATTAAGGATATCTGATGGACCGACCCAACAAAAATTTTGGTTACCTAATTTGGGTTCGCAAGAAACAACTTTGAATTATTTTTGTTGAAAACAAAAAAAATTTCTAATCGTCCCACTGTATTTTTTTTTTTGGCATAAACTCACATCTATAGCACATATAATTCAACACAATGTTGACGATAATTGCTTTAATTTTTTTCGGTTTTCATACATTTCCTTTTTGTTTATGAATGTTAATGAAATAAACGTTTTTTTTTCTTAGAATTTTATTTCTTAAGCATCACATTTCCCTCAATTTTTCACTTAACAATCTTCTCATTTGGATATTAAATATAACAAACAAAAAAATCTTCTAGAAGTCTATAGTCTACATTCTAACTTGTAAAAGTTTCTTTTTAATATGCTTAATTTGTTTTTAATTAAAAACTAGTAGTCCAGTCATTTAAGCTAATTATTTTGTACATTAGACCTGCTATTAAAAAATATTTACGTTTTTATGATTCAACAAATGCAATATTAAAGCCCAGTTACATGAGTAAAATATTAACATTTTGGAAGACCAATTGAGGTAACATCTAAGGATAAGCGGTTGTGAAAAATCGTCGTTTAAGGGCCACATCGACAAACGATGACCCATTCGCATATGTATATAATATATACTTATATATGTATATCAATATAATAAAACGTGTAAACTTGAACTGAAACCTATTTGGCGTTTCCAGAGTAAAATTCAGAATTTCTGAAAAAAATACTGAAATTTCTCATATAATGCATCTGACTTCTTACGTGTGAAGTGTTAGCACGCACAAACATGTGTTTATATATTGTACATTGCAAAATTTTCAAATGTAAATAATACAGAAGTTAATGTCAATCTTATCAATCATTTATTCCATGTGAGCACAACACACATTTTCAATTCAATTTCATTTAAATAGAATTTGAATGGTACGAATAAATTGTTTATCATTTACTTGATTTGATTTGAATTTCTTGTTGCTGCCACTGCTGGCACACAAACCAAAGATGAAGACAGGCTACCAAACTTGTAGTTCGTATGTACATATTAGGAAATGCACTTGGTTTTTCTTCTTTTGATTATATAACCTAACCAACAGAAGAGAGTCTGGGTAGTAGGGCAAACATGTATTCATGCATCCAACCATCCATCTATTGTGTATATTTTGATTTGTTTTGCAGATGAAGTAATTGTAACCACAATGTAACATGTGGTTTTACCCACATTTGTTTGAGAACCTCTAAAGTTAAAGAAGGAAG